GTGTCCCACCGACGAACCGTTGTGAGGAAGAGAGAACCTCCGTCCTTTAATCCATTTATTGATAGATGGATTGCGCACTTGATATCATCTCCGCTCTCGGTATTATCCATTCCGAGAATACCTCGAGGAGCGAATTGGTAACCTATCCTAGTATTGGTCTCTATTTTTAGACGTATTCGATTTTCGTAATTGCGGCACGATTGTGATCTAATCCAGTTTCGTGGCTTACGATGACTCAAAATAACGTGTGTCATCTTTATAGTTGCGCATTATTTATTTTATTATTTCTTGTTGTAATAGGCAAATCTGCATTCGAGTCTGTTTAATTAATGTTTCAACTAATAGCAATAACAACACGCACTGAATGACTAACGCGACATGAGTAATGATGCAACATTTTGGGATTTAAAAAAGTTTTAATAAAATACATTTAAGTTGTTTCTTTTTCTTTCTTTTTCAATATTCGATCGACGCGAGATGCGGAATGTTTTCGTTATGAAAATAGAACCCGTCTATTAATACACATTACTTCGACGTTGTTTTCAATAACACGCTCGAAAGTTTTACATGGAAACTCTATTAAAGTTGTATCTGCGTCGCAATCGTAGAAGGAATAAAGAAAGAAAGAAAAATAAAGTGGAAACAATCGATGGGAGAAGAGAAATTATGTAAATGATACGGACGTAAATGATAAATCATTAATGGTAATTGAATTATGGAATTCGTTATTTGATTTGAGCGCGTATTAGCATAGCTTAGCACTAATAAATTACACAGTCTACGAAGACATTTCACAGTTATGATTAAGTGCGGAGAAGTCGTTCTCTTTCGATGGGAATAATTGCGTCAATAGTTTTAGATTGTGAAGGTAATTGACTAAAAATTGCGGCCGGAAATATGCGGCTTTGATCAATGCGATAGTTGGTAGGTTGTGGAGGGTGGCTATTACGTGACAACACCCTCTTGCCACATGGTGCCAATGCAGCGGACGACACGTAAGCCGGGAAACTTTATACCAAACACCTTAGTCACCCGACGACCAACCCCCTTGTTATTTATGTTTTGCCTCTACTTTTTTTCCCTTCGTCTGCTCGCATTATTCAATTTACCTTACATTCTAGATTCTTAAGCGCTGATGTATTCTATTTTTTACATCATTTCCGTCCGTCTCCTTCTTTTTTTCTTCTTTTATATTCGTCGATAAATTGCCTTAGTCACAGACTATCCCAGATTCGTTTTAGGTACTACTACGCCTTTGCCTTCAACTTAGTCATAGCTCAATCAAAATTCAGACTGTATTTGTATTTACTTAAAATCGCTGTAATGTTACTCAATTATAACTTTTATAGAATTCGTTTACAAATTTTTATGTTAATTTGTTGATGTTGTCCCATTAAATGTTTTAAGATCTAGTTTACTGTAAATCTCATATAAACAAGTTTGGTATTGGTTGAACCTTGGGAGTTTCCAATTTAGAAAATGGGTCGTATGGGTCACGGTCGACGAGAGTGTTTCCATTTTGCGTCCGTTTCGCAAAACATCTTAACCATAACATCCTTTTGCTCCTCGTAACATCAACGAGATCTCTTCCGTTCGTTGGGAATCAATTTGTTAGTAAGAATCAGTAGTGAAAAGAAAATAAAAAGAAGTTGAAGAAGGCCATCCCATACGTTGCGGTGGGTTTCATGAATTACGGTTTTGATTGCGTAATTAAAGATAATGAGTCTGAAGTGTGTGGATGCACTCCATCCATAATGGATCGGAATTCGCGTGTACACCACTGGTCGGTATTTGAACGAGATGGATAATGAAGCGGCGATAAATAGAAAAAGACGAGATGATGGGAAAACGCAGCAAATTGGCGTTACGTTTTGAATGATTTAATAACGCAATATATCTTTTTCGCCTTGAGCTCTCCTTCTCCTCCACAGCTCCACATCTCTCTCTCTCTCTTTCTCTCATCCTCGCAATCTCATTCTTGCTCTCTCCTGATCATCATCATCATACATAGAGCGAGTATGAACTCTGTTCATTGCCTGCATATGCTCGTATGATGCGATTTTTTTTTGTGTTGCCGCTGCAACGATTCGCACGTACATCAATGTCAAATATATAACTTGTCAATGTCACGAATTTATCCTGTTATGTCTGATCTGCAATTAACATTGCCGGAATGTATGGAAAGCGCGCGCGTTTTCCCCCGGATTTTCCGAATCCGCTGAAATGATTTTTTGCTCTTCCATTTCGGATGGTTAATGTGTAAACGTAGCACTTCATCGGAATTGATGAAGAAATTTTGCACGTAGAGCAGCAATTGCATACGGAATGGCGTGTTTAAATTTGAAACGCCGCGCGCGGTCACCTCTCGTTGAGCTCGACCAATTTATGCGCCAATAAAACGTCCATAAATACGATTCCATTTCAAACATCCATAAAATATGAAAGTTTATTAAGGCCAGTAATTGAAATACACGCGGCGCAGTTTTGCGCCGTTTATTGCCTTCCCTCCTCTACGGTCACGATCATCGCGGAGGATGATTTGATGATCATGCTGCTGGTAGTTTGACGATCATCATGATCGGAACAACCCTCTTGCGGTTCGTTGAGCGCGAATTCCATGCCAATTCGAAATAATGAAACGCCAGTTTAAACCCTTTTAATATTATTATGCGAGAGTATGGGGCGAAACGCTGAAAACATCCCTGAGCCTCGGAATTGGAAACAATTGGGGCGTAATAAAATGTATATACGAATATATATATTCCGCTTTGTTCCTATACATTTTTTTTTCGCTCATTGTACGCAATATTTCAAATAATTAATACGTCCTGGATTATACACATTTCTCTACAATTCACCCTCATATTTTTTTTTGTTTGCTTTGGTTTAGGCTATTCAATTTAATCAACGTTATTTTTTTTACGGATTATCGTATCAAAAATAACAAAAATCATATTTGATCTGCTTGAATTAAAAAAAACATTACAGTATTGAATAACAGAGATCACAATGATGGTGAAAATCGCTGAAAATAACGTAATAATAGCGAGTAACGGTCGTAACTAACAGTATGGTTAATTACGAACTCATTAAAATAAACGACTGAAGTTTACGAAAAATAGTAACTGCGTGGTTTTTAATTGTATTCGCTAAAAAAAGCGTACCAACGTGGGGCAACTCATTAAAAGTATCGGTGTTTTGTCTTGAACATTACTCACTGTTGTTTTTTACAGTTATGCTATTACGTAATTAATATATTAAATTAAATAAGTATCTAATGAAGAGTGATGTTTAAAGTCACATAACGTCCTTCGAATCAAAATAATAGATTATGATTAATAAATAGAATAATTATAAATTGAGAACAGGTTGGTAGGAAACGTTTAAGATTTGATTAACACCTGCATTGTACGGTGTTATGTAAGTGGAAATTGCTAACCGCAATAATAAATGTTCAAATGGATAATGTATATGTAAGGTTCGATTTTTCCGATCAACAATGCATCATCATACCATTGCACACCCTTGACACCGTTACGTTTCTTATCGTCGCTTCCTTCATGCATAGTCAAGTGAAAGAACGGCAGCAGGTCATTCCGAAACAGTTGTTCTTCATTTATAATTCTCCTTTTTTTTTGTTCACGTAATTTATATAATCTCACCATCAACATTAGATTAGATTATCATCGTCGGAGAAAAGGAGGCCCTCTGTCCGTTGCATATGCATGGGGAACTGAATAATAATAATAGCAGCAATGGTAATACTAATAATATCGTAATTAAATATTTATAATGACCGGTTCTCTCCTCTCGTTTATGTAATATAAATAAATTTATTACTTCCGTCGGCCTTCCAAACGCACACATTTTCATACATACACACATCAATCCTTCTGTTCATTTCTTTTTTGAAATTTCTTCTTTGTACGCACACGAAAATCCTTTTAATAAATATGAAAATTGAAATTCGGATCGGTTTGAAAAAAAAAACAAAATGAGGACTAAACAACGGCGGAGAGAATTATCAGAAAAAAATAAATAAAAATTAAATAACGAGAGTTGTGAAATTATGGCAGCCGATTAATGGCGAGAGTCGTTGTAATTAATTTCGCGTAAATTAAATTCGGTCCGTTTCATTTTCGAAATGTAATTAATTCATAAATTTAATTCGTTTTGCGAATGGCCCGACGCTCGATGCATACGTCTGCCGTTATTTTATTCGGATTTAATTTCATTAACAATCGTTCACCGTTTCATTATTGTATTATTATAATAATATCGTGATGCAGTTTGGCGCGAGCAAATTGAAATCGAATATTATATAAACATTCCAATCACGCTGTGAATTCTGATAGCAATATTACTTGTAGTTAGTTAATTTTTTGGATTTTCTTATTGTTATTTTATATGAAGACTAATTTTATTAATAATAGTCATAAATAAAGTTTCAGTAATTCGATATTAACTTCTAATTTAATATTTTTTTTTGTAATTATTATATTATATTAAATATGTATAAAGTTGTTTAAATGCACGTGCTACGCTTTAATAAATATGATATTAAAAATTATATAATATCTTATTAACATGCATTTAATGATGTAACATGTGAACTAGATATACTAGTCCTAATTAAAGTTTCTGTTTACACTGTTTCCTAGGATAAAAAGTAAAATGTATATGATAAACATACGTGTTTATTAAAACTGTTATTAAATTAATTATCTTTATTACTGGTAGTAAACATAATGCATTTGTCTGAATAAGTTATGTAATGTTGGATGTTATACATAACAACAAAAAAAAGTATAATCCCACGAGCGGCGATGATTGTATCTTCAGAGCGATGAGAAGGAAGTTTCAAATTTTCCGGAGATTCCCAGCTGTACATCATGTGTTTCTTATTTTTTTTTTCTTCTTCTGTCTACCTCTTGTTCGTCTTTCCTCTAGTTTTCATCTGTTCGCCATATTGATTGTTTTTTTTTCTTGTCTTGTTCCAGATTATTAGTAAACCGTGGACGCTGTCGCCAGACACGAATACAGGGGACCTGACAAAGTTGTGTAATCACAAGAGGAAAATAATCGCGATGGCCTCGCTGGGCTGCAAACCCCCCGATCCGGCGTCGAACAAGCTACCCAAGGGTGAGTACAGTCTGTCTGCACATAAACGAGACGCGTGGGTGTTGTTGTTTGTTTGTTTGTTGTTGTCTTCGTCGTCGTGTTAGTTTCTTCTTGGTTGTTGTTGTTGTTGTGAGTGTATGTTTTTTTTCACCCCATTGTAAATTCGTTTTCCGTGGGGTTGTTTACCCCACCTGTCCCGCGATGGCGCGCGGGACAGCTGTGTTGCAGGCCAAAGTACACCAAGTACGGTGCAAGTACGAGTGCTCGTGCATAATGCGAGACCGTGTGTTTTAGCTGGTCCGTAAACAATGGCAGACGCGTCACGCCTGGGTGGACGACTCCCCCTGCGTGAACCGTAAGAGTCTGTGCGTCACACCGGGTGCTTTGTTTCAAGCACCCGGTGCGTACTTTAATTGTCCTTCCTTCCATCCATCCATCCACCTTATTGCCCCCGGAATACACACGCGTATTTACGTATGCACATATACCGGGTGTTACTCTGCTCTTCAAGCCTTCTTTTGCCCACTCGACGACGCTCTTCTTCCATTTTCGTTCTTCATTCATTCATCTCGTACGCGTACGCAAACTTTGGCGCCTCCGACCTATAGCCAATTTACCTCTACGTTGATGGACCTTGTGTGCTAGAGCCTGTATACAACTCGAGATGTTTTAAGTGGTTCTGGAGGACCTCGCAAGAGTGGACTTCTTTCTCTCCTTCCCTTGATGCAATGATTACCATTTGCTCCATCTCAACCACCACCTAAAACATTTACAATTACATTTCCAAACCTAATTCAAATTGCACCAATTTATTCATCTTAAATTTTGACAATTTCCAAAAGTTTCATTAAGAATGTTAAATTAGAAAAGTAGTTGTTCTTTTTGATTCGTATTGATTTGAGAGCATTGTTTTGTTAATTGAAGGTCCTATTGTTCTTGCAAATTGCGAACAATTCGGTGTTGGGAATAAAGTGGCAGCAAGTTATTAGCGATAATTTATTGCGTTTCGGATTCGGATCGCTAATGGCCATTGTGAAACACACTTTTTACGGGTTTCGAAATTGCCGGTAAGGTCACTTTCGACCGGCTCTCGCCTTCCTTCGAAGCAAAGCGCCGGACAATACCGTTTCGTTCTCTCCTCCTCCTCCTCCCTTTTTCAATCCAATCTGCAGAAACACCGACACCTAGAGAGAGACAAAACTTTTCTCGAAAGAGACCACAGCTTCCGTGACCTGGTTCCATAATTGCCCGTGCAGAATCTCGTTTAATTTGCTCTCCCCGTTCCTTTGTGTCCGAAAGGCAGCGCGTCCTTCGCAGATTCGGCGGAGCAAAAGTATTTGCAGCACTAATTTTTGACATCTTTCCCTTTCTTACTCTTTCTCCACACTTGCGAAGGGGATGGACTTTATTATTGGTGCATTTTAAATGAAAACTCCATTGTATGCAAATTTGCGAGGCCCCGAATGCTTCTTCGCGCGCTATGATTTATTTATAAGTTGTTTTGTGCATGTCGAGGAGTAAGAGGGGTGTCTGCTGCTTCTCTCTCCGAGTTTCGAAGAAAAATTGATTCATTTTTCATGTAAATACACATCAAAAGCGACGGACGTAAATCATTCTGCCGCGACTTAAATGCAATCGAGCGGGATTCGCGAATGCGAGAATTTAACACAGAACTTTGTATGCGAACTAAAGAAAGATACAGAGATTGATGGAGAAAGAGGCAAAAGGAAACATGAAATAAACATTGTAAGAAGAAGTGGATGGAGGAGACCTCGTGATTGCTGCGGGGGAAATCGGGAAATGTTGAAAGAGTAGAAGCAGGGTGGGATACGCAATTACGTTCATTTAAAGTCAATCTTGGAATTATGGATGTTGAAGTTGAATGCAGTTTGTAAAAATAAATTATTCCAGAATTATTTTCCAATTCGTACAAAAGAAGTGGATTTCAAAATGTACAGGATTTGTAAAGGAATGAGATTCTGAGTTATTAGCAAATGCTTGTGATGAAGTTCGAATTATATAATTGAAAAGGAATGAAAGTATTTGTTAAATGTATATACTTTGTAAGTTTTTGTATTATTAGCAAATGCATTTGATGAAGCGTTAATTGAATGATTGTAGTTGATTTGTAATTTACGAAATTAAATCATCTATCAAAATGTACATAATTTGCTCGGCTCTAAGTGCAACTTTGTAAATCAATGAGCTTCTGCGTTATTAGCAAATGCCTATGTTAATCTTCAGTTGATTAAAGACTTGAGCTCTGAGTGTGGTAGATAAGAAGTGGTAGTGGAATGGTGGTATCGGAATCCTCCGATTAAGTTACACGTTCTATAGGTGGTGCGAGTTAAATGTGCCGTGGTAACCGAATGCACATACACGTATATATACAAGAAGCAGCAGCAGAGCTTTGGGGGGAAATTCAAACTGAAACCTGGTCGAAACCGGTTCCAGAGCGTGCACACTCACACACATATACACCGTGTGCTGCACACTCTGCGGCCGCTCTCCACCTTCGTGTCAGTATCGGGTTTGAGGATTTTATTAAATTACATTAAAATTGAAATTAGTTTATCGATTCCCCCTCGGGGGCTGCTGCGTTTGTTCAAAGACTTGCTCCATCCTGAGAACTATGAGGATGCAGCAGCCAACGGTCACCAAGTAAAGGTGGAAGGTTCAGAGGTAGTTGGTGAAGCAGCAATTTTGTAACCCGAGATCAATTTATTGCGGCAATTAGTATCTGCGCCCACGCGGACACATGACATTCAAAAGAGGTGGATTTGTTGAGCAGGAGGAAGGAGGAGTTGCTGCATTTACGCTTTGCTGCTGTTACTGCCGCTGATCCAGCCTTATTTCCGCTTGAAATACGTCCCTGGTTTCGATTATAATTGAACGCGAAAAAAATCCGAGTCGCAATAAATCCTTGCCGTTGATTTATTATATGTGTATGTTTGTGTATGATATGTGTGGGCGGCGGCGGTGGCGGCGGCTGCGGCGTAGCGAATGAAACGAAAGACCAAGAAATAAAGATTAGCACAGTGGAGAAGAGAAGAGAGAAAGAAAGAGAGACGAAGTGAAGTCCAAAGGCAAAAAGCAACGCCTCGCGCAGAGGTCGACACCACCACCTATGTAATGGCAACGCAATAAAGTACATTATACGTATTAATTTAATATCATACCAGGTGATCAAGAACTTTAAAAGCGTTGCTTTGTAATTTACATTTATCCTGAAGGCATTTCCTTGCACATACATACATGTATACATACATTCATCCATCCACCATACAACTCTCAGGCCAGAAACGCAAACAATCTTCTCACACATAAACTGCCACTTACGGAGTGGACTCGGCGCGAGATTTCGCAAATAAAATGAAAACGAGAGGAGGAGGCTCTCTTTCTTATGTTCGTGGCACGCCAAAACACGACGATTTACATTATTTGCACATATAATTCCGCGCGCGATTTATACCATTCGCAGCGCCGGGCACGAAATCCTTTTTTGTGTATATAAATTAATACACGCTTCTATTTATTCCAAACACACAAAGGCCTCCGAGCTTTTTCCAAAGGGTCAAACCCTTCTTGCATTCTCACGTTAATTAAAACCAGTTCTCTATATTATCCACACTAAGTTTCAACCTAACATTATCTATATGCAAAGGTTCCCAATCGTTACCAAGACAGCTCCTTTTTTTTTACTCAATGGAAATTACATCCTTGTATTTTGTAAAATGATTATTGTTATTAACACTATCTAAAATTTTCAAGTAACGTCTACAGGATGTTTGTACAGCTTGTTTCGCAAATTACTTATAATAAGTTACATAGAATTAATGCTTGAATATTGAGCAGATAAGATATGCTATAATAACTAGCATTAACCCCACACAATATAAATAACGCTGCAGCAGCTAACAGAATCTCACGTTAATTTAAACCAGTTATATTAGTATCTTGACTAATTTAGAATCTAAGATTATCCATGCAAACTGTGTAAAGGTTTCCAATCATTACCATATAAATGCAAGATGGCTTTTTGTGGTACAGACAATAAATTCCATTGAAACATGCATTCTGCAAAATGATCACCATTCAGATTTTCTTGTTACAATACATTTATAAATATTCATGAATAAATGTTCACATAAAATAGTTAGTATTAATACACTTACATTTCATCGAAACATTGCAACTAAATTGAAATTATCTAATTATTTTACATTAACTAATGTTGTTTCTTGTTTTCAAAATTGAAGTGACAATTAGAGAGATGGATGATTTACTACAACTGTTTTGCAGGAAGCAATGAAATGTGATTTATCGCTTTAACAGTGGAATAATAAGAAACTGCAGATTCAACTCGTAATTAAAATTTTAAAAGGACTAATACTTTTCACGAGCGTAATTTATGTGATTTACTATTTAATCCTGCTCGAGGAAATGCGGTAATAAATCATTAACATTGGGATGATTTATGTGAGAAGAATGCGGGGCCGTAAATGGTCAATGAAAATCTATTCGGACACTGCGACTTCCATGGAGTTTTATGATATTCGATAATAGTCATAAGTAGGAGGAAATTAAGTCATTAAATATCCATATCTCTTTTATGGTTTGATTTATATAATTAACGGTGATCATGTGGGAAGGATGAAATTAATGGTCACTTTATAAGTTATATTATAATGTAATTTATTAAATTGTTAAAAGTGATGTATGTTTTGTGTATATAAAGTGTATGATCAAATCTTGCGAGGATTAGAAAGTATACATGTATTTAGGCGAAGAACGAAACGACTTTTCTTGAACAAATTATGCCGAAGATTTATGTAGTTTTTGAATAATAAAGAAAAGTAGTGCAGAAGGTCAAATGGTTGTGGTCTCTTTGAAGAAGCCTATTATTTCGTAAACATGAGCGTTCGTGCACAGAGCATTATACTAATTGGCTAAACATATACACATGTTCTTTTTTTTTGTTTATATGTATGTTATGTGTGTGTTCTCTTGCGCTTAATGAATATATTAGTGGCGTGCCGTTTCGGAATGGATCGTTTTGTTTTCCAATGAAACGCCGCTTTTGTTCCGTACGAATGAGATGGGTTGTGTGTGTGTATGTACATTGCAGACATACCTTTGGTAGTATATCCTCATCCACAACAGAGACAGACAACGAACGAGTACGAATACAATTGCGAGGAACAAAACCAACACACGCTCACAGCGGACTTAATTAAAAGTTAGCAACGGATAGAAACATAATTAAATTTCATATATAGCGGCGTACCTGGAGCATACGGACCATAGAATTCCATAGATAAATTAATTTGTATGTAGTAGCTGTAACAATGTTAAAACATTGCAGCAGCAGAAGCAGCAGCAGCAGAAGCAGCAGCAGCAGCAGTCGGGGCTACTGCTATTTAATTACTGCGAGGGATTTTATTAGCAGGCCAAGAACTGGGGCTCCTGCTGCTGCTTCTGGCATTCTTTCCAATTAAATCCCAAAACTGAATTTCACGTTGCATTAATTAATAATCCCTCCCGTCGAGGAAGAACGCTGCTGTACATAACGGAGGACAATAGGTTTAATTATCTAGAAATGTAAATTGGTGTAGATCGTAAGCTTTGCGTTTACAAAAAGTGATAATTCTATTATAATCATTGTTATTTGTATGTGCTTCAACGATGTTTTAGACTTACAAGTCTTTATACTAAATGTATATATTAATTGTAATACACACAAATATAAATGTAAGATTTGTAAGCATCAAGTTTACAGCGAAACATCAAAAGCGGGATCGTTATATCATTATCTGTGAGAAGTGTTCTTGTCTGTATAAAATGCTTCATAGTTGCTCGTTGGAGTAGGAAACAGACGCGTCCTAAATCTGGGGCTTCCAACTGCAGAGGCAAGATGAATTGCGCACCTTTGCCAAGATTATTGCATTGGATAATTACTAGGTCTGCATGCAGTGCTGCTACGTGTACACACATTTCCGTTGCGAATTTATGATTGCGGCCCATTATATTGAGCGCAACGTAAATATAGAAAATTGGGTCAAGAATTGGCATCGTTTATATACAAAATATAATCCATCAAAAAGTTGATGTATATGCCGCAAACGCTGTGGAATCGTGATTATTCGAGCGAATTTGACGGAATGTCTCGATCCTAATCGCATGCAGGTTTCGGCGATGATATATCCTAGTTCCCAAAGACACGCACGGCCAATTCCAAAATGGAACATAATAATCATGTTTTATTTACTGTTTTACCATAATTCTCGCATAAATTTTGTTCTTTGTTCTACTTGAAAATACTCATATTTGTTGCTTTCCCATTTTGTAGATTGCAACAAGAAGAAAAAGAGGAAGCTATGCGTTAGTTATGTATCCGAGATATTGGGGCAACGGGAAAAGCAGCCCTTCAACAAGGAGAACTCGGCAGCGCCTCAATTTGCACAGCAAGTACGTTCATCTTTTGTTAGATTTATTAGAATTGTTTTATTTTATAATACTCTTGTCTTGTAGACGTGGCCTCTTCCTCAACAGCAGCCGCAGCAACAACAGCAGCAGTCGCAGCCTGATTTCCAGCAGAATCCGCAGTTCTTCAGGTACCAGAATCCAGAGAACCGCCTCGGTTCGCCGGTGGTTTTGAACGAGACCGTCGTCGCGCCGAATCAAAACATATCACCGCAGCAGCAGATGCAGCTCCAGCACCATCCGCCTGCCGTTCAAGCAAATCCGCAGATTGTGAACGCTCAATTCGGAATACCGAATCAGCAAAGGGTCTTCGTGAACAATCAACCGAATGAACCGAGCGGACCGGGTCGGCCTGCACGTAGCTTCTATCAGGGCCAGAACGGAACCTTCCAGTACGATCCGTCGAAAAGCGTGCGGCCCTTCACGCCCAGCAATGGAATGCGCCAGGTGATTCCTCCGCAGAAAGCCAACCAGCAGATGTGGAGTAGCAATCATCGCGTGCCATTGCCGTCGCAGAGTCCCCATAATCCGAATGTTTACGAACGTGTGCCGCCTCTGTACCAGCATCAACCTCCTCCCGTCGTTTGGCAGGATGAGATCAGCAGGAAAAGGCTGAAACCTGGCAAGAGTTTGAAGAAGAGGTCGTTCGCTATGGAGACGACGCAGCACGCGCCCTGTCCCAACGTGGACGTGAGACAGATCGAAAACAGCAGGATGATGGTGAACCAATTTCAGAACGAGCCTAGCTCCAGTCCTTCGTTCATGGAGGATCCGAGCGGCTACCTCGCCCAGCAAACTGCCCTTCTCAATAACACTATTAATAGACAAACCGGTAATGCAGCTTTCTCGTCGAGCAAACTGAACTCGTTGTTTCTTTACACCTTATTAAAATTAATGTTCAATTTTAGGTTGTTCAAATTATATTTGTAATAGTCCCGTGACTTCGAATCCTTCGGGTCAGCAGCAGCAGATTTTAAACACGACACAGCCGAATGGAGTGCCTTTACCTAGCAATATTCAAATTAAGCAGCAACCGCAGCATGCCTATGGAAACGCCCCAGCAGCGCAGAGGAATCAGCAGAATGTGATGAAAAGTATGGGAATGAGCCCGTACTTGGTGAATGCAGATAGTAGCGCGATGAACGAAGTGAACAACTGCCAGGGATGCGCTGTCGAGTACCATCAGCAACAAGCAATTGTAGACGCGAAGGATGCGAGGGTGGTGGCTTTCCCGAGGCCGAGCAGCCAGCCGGGAACGCCGAGCTCTACAGGTACTAGTGAAGATCCCGTAACGTCATCGAATTATTTAGAGAAACATCCTTCGCCAGATTCGAGGCCGATTCAAGGTGGCACCGTGAGTACCAGCAACGTGTCGCCTGTCGCAGGATCCCCGAATCCCGCCTCCCACACGCCGACTCCTCCGCAGCAAGAGCAACAAATATCCTACAACTATCAACCTGAGCCTAATCAAAACGCTTTCCAATTGAATCAAAATGTTCCCAATCAAATGCAAGCGAGTTATCAAAAGCCGCCGGAGGAGCAACTGCTGCAGCACCGGCCAATACCTCAGGGAATCGTAACGACTATGGCCAGCGGCCGGACAGTCGGCAGCAACACCATAACATCGGTACTGGCCGGTCGAGCAAACACTGCCACCGTTTCCATCACCAATCCGTCGGTGGTCAATCAAGCTCCACCTCCGCCGCCGCAGCCCCCTCAGATCATCTCTAAATCTCCTTTGGAAATGGTTCAGAGCGTTGTGAGCAGCATAAAAGTGCCGCACAGCAATCAGCCTCAACACCATCAGCCGCAAAACATTCTCAGCGTGCAGAACATCCCTCAACAAGTCGTCAAACAGAGCCTACCTCCTGGTCACATCCTCGTGTCCTCCGGTGGTCAATTGATTATGGCCAGCACCAACAACCAAGTGATGCCTCCGCCGCCTCCACCGAAAATCGTCACCAATCAAACATCCATGCCACCGATATCCGTCTCGCCCATGGTCACCAATGTCACGGCTTCTGTAACACAGATGATACCGATGGCTCAGCAAGTGCTCGGTCAGCAGACGGTCCTCGTTAATGCCCTTCCTGCGCCCTTCGTCCTTCAGCCGGGCGTGACGATGACAATGGACAGCATGAATATGCAAATACCGCACCTCGTCACCGGGAACGTTATCCAGCAGCAAATTCAGATCGATCAGACCGACCCGAGACGCGTGGCGGCCACCGCAAATATGCTATCTCCCGAAAGCAAAAAGAAGGGTAAGAAGAGGAAGGTTTCCTCGCAAACTGTAGCATCAATGCTTCACATAGCAGCACAACAAAATTCCGGCGTCGTAGGTTTTCCGCAGCAGATACAAATGGCTCACAGTCCTCAAGGCATAACGACGGCGCCGGTCATGCAAGCACTTACCATCGTTCCCGGAAAAGCTGGAGCTCCACCGCAGATCGTTATGAACGGCCAATTGTCCAATACCCAACAGTTATCGCAGCAAATCAATCTTCTGCAACCGGTAAACCTGGCACAAGGAATGATGCAGAATTTCCCTACCATTCAGCAATTTGTTCTGCCTAATCTGACGGGGATGGTCATGAACGCGGACGGAACGGCGACCATCGTTCAGGACACTCACAACTTAGGGATGCAGCTGCAGCTTCAGAACGTTAATGGGCAGAACGTCCTGACTCCGGTACAAAACAACCAGATGTTCGCTGGCGGCCAGAGCATCATTCCGACGGGGATGGTGATACGGCCGCAAGGGAAGATCATACAACAGCAGCATAGTCCTGGAGCTCAGTTCTTGTCTCCCAACAACGGTGGGCAGTTCGTCGCTCAGTTCAATGGGCAGCTCAGTCCGCTCGTTGCGAACGTCAGTCCAGGACAACAGGTATTTTAGTAAATTTCTGCAAACTAGAATCGATTATTAGTAATGTCATCTGGGCATATTTTAGGTAACATTTAGCGCTGGACCGCAACAAATCAGGACTAGTAACGGCATACAACATCAACCCCAGCAGGAGTACATTCAGTGCGGGCAAACGCTGATGGTTCCGGCAAACATTACTGCCTCCACCTCTAATCAACAGAACACCACATACGTACACCAGAACACCACTATAGTACAACAGCAGACGACCATGCTTTCAAATAATCAAAGCAGTCAGAATCAAAGCTTGAACGTGGATCAGAATTTCATTATATCGGAAAAGCCGCCGCCGGTGCAGACGGTGGTTCTGCAACAGAGGCAGAGTCCCATGCAGCAGCAACAACATCAACACCAGCAGCAACCGCAACAACTACCTCCAAATTACAGGCACTCGGTGTCGACGCAGACTGCCGTCAATCAGAACGGTCAGCCGGTGACTACCCACACGTTCTGCCAGACGTCCACCTCCAGTGCTGGGAGCCCGCCGGACACGACCACTCACAGTCCTTTGGCACCTGGTGGGCAAAGCCCTCCCACGGCGGATACGACCACCCACTCCGGTAGCACAGACGATGGCTTATCGCCTGCACCTTCCAACTGCTCCGGTTCTTGCAGCGATATAGTCAATCTTCAACGGCAGCATTCCTCGATGGTATTATACTTGCATTAATTTGTTTGGACCGAAGCAAATGAAGAGTTTGCGTGATTTTAGGCGATGGTGCATTGCATCTCCAGCTCAGAGCCGGATTCCGCGGACATGGTCGTTCCTAATTCAGAGTTCGATTGGCGCGGTGCGGCAATATCCTCGGGCTCGAAGATAGAGTATACCGATATCAATGGAACGACCGTCCATGTCAAGAAGACGCCGACGCACGTGGCTTATGCGGAATCCTCGACGATGATGCACTTTGTCACCGAAGGCGTTAAACAGCAGCAGCAGCACCACCACCATCAGCAGCAGCTGCAGCATAACCATCAGCAAGAGGTCGTCAGCTCAAGGAACACCTACGAGAAGATCCACCACAAGAAGAAGCACGGGGACACCGTCGTCGTCATGCAGACGAACCAGATGCACACTTCATTATTTGACGATGATGAAGGTACGATATTATCTTAACTCCTCAGCTTTGCTTAAAATTTGCTTCCACAATATTTAGGTCAGGTATTTCTATCTTAAATCATAATTTACTTCAATTAAGACTGAAAGATAGATATACCGGATCTTCAAATAATCGTGGCCTCGACACGAGAATTGTATATCCAATTACGTTCTATATTAAAACTTTTAATTCTCCTCGAGTCTTCGATTATAGTCCGAACCCAATATAACTTGATACTTCAAATATTGGTTCGCGCTTGAGATCACCGCATAATACGTTTATTAATTGTTTTCCAGCGTATTATATAACAGCCCGCTTTTAAACTGCGAATTCCCATGTTCCATTTGCTAATGTATTCTCCTAGCATCCATGTAATTCCATTTTAATTTATGTAGAATGCCGTAATGTTTTCGTTTCTCGATTCGCGTTTCCCAGTCGATTGATTATCGAGAAACGCGAGAATATTCCTCGGCTCATTTGATTTTCCTAACGTTTTTTTTTTTGCTGCGTAGTATGGAGAATGATAGTAATAAAGTAGTAGGAGAGCATCATTAATGTGTGCTTTATTGTCACGCAATCGCGATTTGCAAGTATAATAATGACATGCCGTTTTTTTTTTAATTGTAATTGCCGAGCGCGTGTTTGTTTTCAGTTTTCGTATTGTTGTGTAACAACTGTCCGTAAATTGCGATCCTTACATTATTGCTATTATCTCCTCTTGTTTTCTTCTATTATTACTTAATTGCTTTTATGTAGATATGTTCATGTTGCTTTTAAATTGTTGTAATCGCTGCTTTTGCTCATTGTTAATATATTCGGTTTGAAGGATTTGTTTCTTTTTGCATGATTTCTGTTATTTTTTTCACACAGTTCAGTCGTTGTTTCTCATACATCTCTGACACTTAATTTCCCTCTGTATACTTTGCGGTTTACAGGCGTGGGCTTAGTTAGGTAATTAGAATAACTCAAATATTTATTTTACATTTTCTAATTAAATACCAAATAAATTACGAGAATACACGACTAAATTCATTTAAGTTAATCTAAACTCATACAAGGATTTTTGTTATTTACTTTTCAAATAAACTTTTTTTATTAAAATAAATATATTTAATTTTAATATTATTAACACTTATTTGTATGTTAATAATTCGATTACTTTTAAGAATAACAAAATTTAGAATTGGCACATTGCATGTAACAGTAGTTTGTATCAATCCACCGAATTTTGTGTTCGATTTACTTTTTCTTTTTCTCAGTGTTAGGATGTGTTTATTTTTCAATTAAAACAACAAAATGTATATATACATATATGAAATTATTTAGGTAAAGGAAATATTATATATGAAAAAAAAATAATCTTTATTTTGTGTGATTAATTGGTGTGGCTAACAAAATTTTCTCGGATAAACGAATAATAAATTTAACAAATCGATCAGGTGTAAGTGTTAATATCTATTTTTGTTTGTTTGTCTGTCTGAACCATCCTTCTGTACATAACTTTTTGGACTTGAGCCCAGGGGGTACAAAAGAATAAGATCATCCATCGCATCATCTTTTGTTTTGCTTGCGTTTTTATATCTTCATTTGGGACTTGATTAATTACGGCGCATTGCTTATCACTTGCAAAAAAAAATAAAAAGAATCAACAGCAAACCTTCTATACTTTCCATCACTATAACGAACGCACTTTCTACTTCTAATCTTTAAGTTTAATAGATTTTGTTCTTTTTTTTTTTGGAAAAGTGAAAGATGGATTTTTTGTTTAGAAAAGAGGGATGATGATGGTGATGATGATGATGAAGATGATGGTGATAAAGGTAGTCCTCATCAGACGTTCCTAATCGGAGATCTGGTGTGGGGCCCCGCGAGGGGCTGTCCCGCCTGGCCTGGCAAATTGATCCAGGTGAAAGAGCAGGGCAGCAGGGTTACGGTGCGATGGTTCGGGGGCGGCGGTGACAGGGCACTCAGTGAACTCGATCCGGCCCTGTTGCAGACCCTCTCTGAAGGCCTCGACGCCCATCACCGCGCCAGCAAGAAATCACGGACGTGAGTTTGTTTATTAGCCACACCAAAATCAATTTCACAAACAAATAACTCATACGACCTAACAAAACCATAAACTATCAAAATATCTATAATGCATCTTCGCGTCGCTTCAATGCAAAAATCCGTTCGCTCACGTTCTGTATATATATATTTTTTTTGTATCTATTTAGAAGCCGTAAACTGAACACGCAATTGGAGAAGGCCATCCAAGAGGCGATGGCGGAATTGGACAAAGTGGACGAGAGCAGAAAGACTAAGAAGGAGGTCGCCGTGAACATCGTGAGGAAGTCTGGGGGCCGTCTTCGGAGCAGCCAGAGATAGCGCAACGCGCGTTTCCTTTGATGAATTTAACCAATTGGACCAACATCGAAAGAAAAGAAGAAAAAAGCACACACACACAAACACACGTTGTTTTTTTTTGTACTCGTCTTAGAGAAGAGAGACGACCTTGGATTATTTTCTGTTTTTAGTTCGTTTGCGGACGCCACCATCTCCGTGGTGGTGGTTTCTTTTAGTTGACCCAACAATATTTACACAATTTTGGTAATGATTCCTAGACGCATCACGAAAAGAATTATAATATATAAAAAAAAAATCTATATATATATATATAAATGTATAAGAATATTTAAACGTAAATATTATATATTATATAAATGAAATGAAGCAAAGTTAGTGAAGAAAAAGAAGATGAAGTATATATGATATACACAAAGATATTTTTAAAAATGCCTTTTTTAAAAAAACGATTTTAAAAAAGTTTAATAACGTGAATTAAGTGGCTTTTCGGATTACGACCTCTGTTTTACAATATTTCCTCCTCGTATTTCTTTAACAAACAAACAAAAAATACCTCCCTCCCCTTTACCACATAAACACTCAACTTCGTAATTACGGGCTTTCATATAAACACAGAGAGAGAAGAATTAAAAAGGAGATTCAAGAAAAAAAAAACAATTTTTTTAGACTTATATAAATAAACTAACGATAACAAAAACAAGAAAAAAATATGAAAAGAATTATATATATATATATAACGTAGATTTATATAATAATACATGATAATATTAAATAATAAACGATATTATTATAGCGGGTCAGTTGTATAAAATAATAATGATGTATAATTGAATGGGTATATGCAGGGCCGTTCGCGTTTATTTTATATTTTTTTCTTCGATTGCTTTAGTTTATTTTTTTCATTCATTTGTTGCCTCAAATTTTAAATATATATATACTTTCTTCTTTTTATAAACAGTGCAGGGTAACGGGTTTAGAGCTCTAAAATTCAAGTGACAACAAAGAAGTTAACGTTTTAGGATAATTGATGGAAGATTTGTTTTTCTTTATTTTTTTTTGGAAAGGAGAGGAGGCGTTGGATTTGGGCCCCGCCCTGCACGAAATATATAAACTAGTCACTGCGACAAAAGTTTTCGACAATAACAAATAATTAATGTTCGTGTATATTATTATTATTTTATTTTCGTTTTGATATATATACATATAATTTGTGTACACTGTGATAGGCAGATTTATCGTGTAATTATGTAATCATTTTTGTTTTGTCTCTTAGTAATGCTTAGAACGCAAGATCCTCCCCCTCTCGCTCCGAACAACCTCCGGATTCGCTCCTCCTCTTTTCTCGTTCATAGAAACACAAACAAACAACCACAGCACCCACGATAATAATGATGATGATCGAATCTCTCGTAGAATCTCGGAACTTAGGCTATAAATGATATGTATGATATAATGATGTAATAACTCAAGATCAAATATTTTTTTACCGTACTTTTCACGATGAAGAAGCAAGCAGACGAAGACGTTGACGATGAAGAAGAAATTCAGATCCAAAGAAGTATTTAGTTTGTTTTTTATTTTTTATTGAAAAGGGTATATATATATATATATATCTCTAATATATATACATATATTTTAAATACGTGTAATAGGATGATTATTTCTTTCTCTTGTAATTATTAATTAATTAATTTTTTTTTCGTAGCGGATGTTGGAAGCGAATTGTTGTGTTTTAATAGTAATTATTAATTATCCTTTTTCTTTTTTTTTAAATGTACAGTATTTAGTGTTTAGGATCAGGAAGCATAATCAAATTATGTTTTCGTTTGTTTTATTTTTTACATATTCTTTTTTTTTTGTGGTCTCTTAGCAAGCGTATATCGTATATTTTCTGGCTTCGAACGAGTTTTTTTTCCTTTTTATTTTATTAATTGTACATGTATAATTCGTAGTCGCTTTTGATTTTTTTTCCTCCTGGACACGGAAAAAAAAAAGAACAGACACTCGCACACATTCACACCCACAAACAACAACACCGATGTTTTAATTTAACTATTTTCTTTATTATTTGTTTATTTTTTATTTGAAATAAGTGAATTGTACATAATATTTTTATATACATATATAAATATAATGTATTTATTGTTTTATTTTCTACTTCTTTGAAGGATTGGATTGAAACGGAAAGAAGAGGCGTGTCTTCTATTTCTATCCCGCCCCCTTCTCAATCTCTAATTATTATTATGTATTTCTTACTGCTATATATATATATATATTGTACAATTTGTTTTCCACTAATTATTTGTTAGAGATCGTTTAATTAATTAATTAATTAATTAATTTTTTAACATGCATCACATTGCTATTACTATTATTAATTACTATTATTGTATGTGTATAAAAAAAGGCGCGCCGTTTAGCCCCGCCCACTTTCCAATTCTTAAACCCGCCCACAGCTCCCTCCGATCTACTTCAATTGGTCGATTTATTACACATCACGGCGGCGCGCTACGCCCCTCTTTTTTTGTCTATTATTTATTTCCACTTTCTTTACATAGTTTATGTACAATATATACATATTGTGTATATATATTTTAGAGGTACCTGTTTCTACATTATATATATATTATATGTTACAATTTCTTTTCCCAATTGTAACCCGGTGTCATTATATAAATAATTTTATTATTTCTTGTTCAAAATAGTGACTCGCGTCATTCTAATTATTTTTTTTCTTCTTCTTAATTTTTATAAATATATATATAATCCAGTGTTGGAGGTGCTCGTCGCGTGCAGACGACGCGACGGTTTACTTCACTTTGTCTTGTTTTTTCTTTTTATATATATATATATTATTATTATTTTTGATTATGTAAATATATTGTATTACTGTTTGGCCTGCTATGTTGTGGTTGAACATTTTAAAACCAACCCAATAAATACTGGATTAGTATTAAAAAACAAATTAACAAAAAAAAAAACATAAGAACAAATCGAAATATAAAAGATAAATTGAATCAGCGACTTTCTTGTGTTTTCTTAACTTTTAATTTATTATTTTTCTACAAGATTCATAAAATCTACACAGTCTATTAGTTAAATAATTTAATTTTCAATTAATGCATTAGCAAGTTGTGATTGTTAACTCAACTTGTGATTTTTAACAAACGAAAATTTGTTAATTCTAAATTATATCATAGTGGGTTGTGAAAATATCTCCCGGATAAAAACAAAACAAAAAGCTTAGTGTCAATTGAACCTTCAGATTTGAATAGTTTTTAATACGTGCTTAGAATATGAAATAATTGTGTAATTTGGGAATGTTAACAATTTGAAGATAGAAGAAAACGTAAGTAGATTAATACATAATTATATAATGCAATCATTTAAGAATATTGGTAAGTAAATCGTAGTAGAAGCTAATACTTTACATTTCTATTAAGATTGAATTAAGAAAGACTTAAGAACAACGATTTTAATTACTAGTAATTAGTCTTTTTTGTGATCCAGTTGATAATTATTAATTACATTAATTTAATTGTTAAATTTTAAATTTAAATATTTCTTGTTGTTTACCACCAGATGGTACTTCTGAGCAAAACTAAATAAGTTTTACAACTATTTTCATAATCACTTTACAAAATTAAAAAAAAAACTATTAATTGATAGATAATTAATTGATTAATACATTCTATCTTATTCAATTATAATTAAAGTAACAGCGCTAAAATGGCTAAACTATAAACTTTCTGCAAACGTTAATAGATGGCTCAAAAATTAGTCTATTTCCATCCAAGTTACAAACCAAAGTCAATAGTTCAAGTGCTTTGGCGCTGATCAAAGTTGGATTAAGTATTTAATTGAAAATATGTAATAACAAAATGATTCAGTATTTTAGTATTCGGTGGCAATCGCAAGCCTGACAACCGAAATACCGTCTATCGAAATCCCGAGTGTATTGAAATCCCGACTACCTTAATTCCGACAATCGAAATCCCGACAATCTAAAACTTAATAAGATTATTAATTGTTGTTATTTATTGTTAATAACATAATCTAATTTTATTATAGAATATTTCTTATTCTTAAATTTTATAATGAATTAGTCAACGAAAAAAAAATACAATAATAATTAATATTATTTATTGTTATTAAGAATAAATAACAACAATTAATAATCGGGCAAAAGAGCTCAAATATTTTTTTCAGTATCCGTCGTACCTATTAAAATATAGTACAATAATTTAAAAATGTTATTGTAGAAATTATAATAATAAAAGACACTGTCGGGATTCCGAATGTCGGGATTATGGTAGTTGAGATTTCGATATATTCGGAATTTCGATACAGTCGGGATTTTGATTGTCGGGATTATGGTAGTCGGGATTTTGATACACTCGGGATTTCAATACACTCGAAATAGACCCATTAGTATTATACTAATTTATTGAATTATGATAATTGCTATATTTGATTAATAATTGTATAGTAGCGTCACCTATCCGTTGAGTTTTATATTTATATGTTTATTAATTATTTTCATCATAATTAACTTCAATAATTAGTTCATAATAATAATAATATAACTTTTATTATATAGTTGATTAATATTATGTTCGTATTGATTAATTTTAATTTGATTCAATTGTCAAATTTTAAGATATTTTTGTAATAAGATGCTATTATTTTTGCTATAGAAAACAATTCTGTTAGAGAAATTGATTCAATGTTTGTATTTATATAAATTAACTTTACTGTTAGCGTTTTTGCATCTTAGCTTTATTTCATTTAATATGGTGGTAATTTGTCTGTTACATAGTATTATAAAGAGCTTATTTATTGAAATACAATTGATCTTAAGAAAATAAGCTCATTAAAGTAATGCTATTGAGGTTGAAATACACCAGGATTTTAATGGTAATTCAAGTACTTTTCCATTTTCATTAGAATGGAAGAAAATGAAAGGTTGTTGGTTTATAAATAAGCGATTAAAACCTATTGATATTTGATTAAATTATTCGGTGATCAAATGGGAATAGCTTGTGTTATATTCATTGCTGGAAAACAATAAAAGAACGCGTTTAAAATCAGAGGGGGATGGTTGTAGCATATTAATTTCGACTAATAATCTCGAGTGTTTTTGGTGGGTTAATTAATATTGGTTACGTAGCTATATGTGGCTCCAGACAATCGGGGTCTAATTACGCGTGTGTGGGGGGTTAGCAACGGTTGTCGGGGGGATGGGGTTGCGAAATATTAAGGTCAGGTGTTGCCGCCACCGCCGTCG